CTCTCTCTCTCTCTCTCTCTCTCTCTCTCTGTCGCTCTCTCTTTCCTGATGTCGGCGGCACTCAATGCTTAGCAGCGCTCAATGTTTAGCGCGACCAACGTGAAAGTCGCGGAGCAACGCGATTATCGTCGAGACATCTGTAAACTCCCAGGGTAACGACGATAATTGAATGCATCGGCTACCTCTCTCCGCAACCCTCCGCTAAGAGGAGAGAGGGTGAGCGAAGAAACCCGTACAACGATGAGCGCATCCTCTCGCTAGCCTAACCGCTCTCGCGCGCGCACGTTCTATGTATTACGCATAATTAATCCGGCGATGTTATCTCCTCTAACCTTGTATCCGTGCGCTCGCGCGAATAGAATCGGCGATCCACGATTCTTCTTTCATCAATGTTACCCTCCTTCTTCCTCGGCCGCGTATCGCGATGCTGCACACGATGTTGTGCGTGCGTGTGCTGGCGATGTGCACGTTGCACCGGCGCGCCGCGATAATCGCGATAAACTTGATGACAACGCGATTCCCATCTCGGAGGCCGCCGTCAGAAAAAGGGAATAGAGCAGAGAGAGAGAAAGAAGGAAAGAATCATTTGTTAAAAAGGGACGAAGAGAGGGGCAAGAGTAGGAACAGAAGGGGAAGGAAGCAAGCGGTGAGTGTATGCGCTCGACGCACAATCGAACGAGAAAGAGGTAATTTCGCGGCGACCATATATATATATGTATACATATATAAATTTTTTTCTCCTGTCTTTAATACTATTCCGCCACGGATTTTTCAGATCGGTAATCGAGCGCCTTTGGAAGGAATTTCCGACGACGCATTTCGCGATGCACCTCCGGAAGTTCTCTCTCCGTGCTTTTATCGAACCAAACCATCGCTGTGTACTCAGTTCTCTCCAGACGATCCCCCAAAAAAGTGCATTCAAGTGCAACGGGCTATTCTGCCCGCTGCGTACTTAACACTTAAATCGCGTACCAAAATATGAGAAAGGAAAAAAGAAAACAGCACGACGGGAGTCATTGCGAAATACATTATTCTCCCTGAATTAAATATCTGCCTAAACGATTTGTTGCGTAATATTTCGAAAAGTTTTGGGAGATTTGTTTGCTTTCGTGACGAATGATATTATTCTAAAAAATACATTATATATTACGATATCTATAATCACGTATTATTTTTTCTCTTTATGTTCCTGATTAATATACACGTAAAATATATTATTTTTTATGCATATTTCTATTTGCATTAGAGGAAGTATAAAGTTAAGATAATAATTAACTGTCTTCTGGCACACTAGACTTATTTTCGACCCCACCCGATTTCTAATTTTTTAAATTACTTGTAAATTATTGAAATAAGGATTTTCAGTTCAAGTGATAAAAAAAGTTGGTGGAAATATGAAGTTATATAGATTTCTATTAGCACTTTTACGGAATGTACTCTCTTAAAGTGAATCAGTGAATAGTCACTGACATTAGTTATAAGTATAGCACTGAGCAGTGTCAGTGCTGTACTTATAGCTGCAAATCGTATATGCGTATATTTACTGCTTTCAATGATGTTTCATTGATCCACTTAAAAAAAAATAAGCTAGAAAGAAACTGACCCCAAAGACTTCAGATTAAGATGTCTAAAATATATATGTTGTGAAGGTTCCTTCTAGGGTTCTAGTAAAGGGAAAGCATCGCGCTAACACAATGCAATAAATAACTTAATAACAATTTTTGCATCGCGTCAGACTGTGGCGTCGAGGTGGGAGAAGTGACACGCCGCTTCTGCCGCCGCCGCTGTTCGGATAAAAACATAAATCTACATATTATTAAAGCAGCGACGATCAAAGCGATCGAAATAATGCAGATTATCAGAAAACGCCGGTGCCGCGGCAATTTCTGCAGGCACTTAAAATCATTTCGACGCCTCTCGCCGATGAATATTGAACAGCCACGCACCTGCCGGCCGCCTCCCCTTTCCAATCACTCGCGCGTCCCCCTGTGTACCCCTTCAACCTCCCTACCATTCCCCCTCTCTCTCTCTCTCTCTTTCTCTCGTATCGCAATGATTTTGAACACGAACTCGTCCATCATCGACGACCTCGTGCAAAATCATGCAACGAATGATCGCGAGGGTTATGAGCAATGAACAGGGTAGATAGGTAGGTAAATGGGTAGGAGGGGGAGAGGGACAGTTACAGAGGGGAATCAAAATTATTTGTTGAAAAT